ATTTTATTTATGTGAGATTAATGTTTTGAGTGATATTTCTGATAAAAAAAAAGTATCACTTAACGTGAGAACTATACGATTTAAAAAAAAAAAAAGACAATGAGATGTTGTAAGAGATTGCAAACTGATTTGTAAAAATTAGTAAAAAAAAAAAACAGAAAAAGAATCAAATTTTGTTACATAGACAAGAGTAAAAGATGTATAAAAGTAATTAATGCATTAGAGAGAAATCTAGAATAAGATATATTGTAGAAAAATTAGGAGTTGTGCATAACCAGCATAGCTCATATTCTATGGGCGAGCTTAAATCAGAGCAAACAAGCCTAGACTAATTTATGAAGTATTTTTTATATGGGGATGCATCTCCTAATCGATAAAATTTTATTTTTTCAATAAAGTCTTTTCTAAATGTACAGTTAAAAGAATCAAACGTATGTGAATACACTTTAAAGAAAATTTAACTATCTGGCGATTGTGACAAATGTTTTAAGTATAAAGCAATAGATAAACTCTATGATGACCTGTGAGACTGTTGATACTAATTGTATCTAATTTCTTGATGAATTGCATGCGCATTTGTGTATGTGGTTTGAAGAGTGCAAGATCCAAGGTAGGATCACTTTTTGATTTTGTTTTCTCTGCTAGTGCATTGATGGTAATCCAAGAGAAGTATATATGAATTTATTAAAGGAAATTGAAACCTTAGTTATGAATAATAGTAGAAAAGAAAGAGAAGTGTGGGTAGGGAATTAGGGGGTGAAGTGGGCTAATAAGTTGGGGGCACCACGAACACCAAGAGTGGGAGGTAGGCCAGTGAGCTTAACCAGAACCAAATCACCGACCATATCCCTTTTCAATTATTCATATTTCCTTCAAACCACCACTCTCTTCCTTCGCCAGAAAAATAAATTCAGGGACCATGTGCATCAAAGCTTCTGGATCTCAATTTCAATTCAATCAACCCAATATTGCTGCTGAGTTAAACATCCAATATATCCTAATAATTTAATTTCTCTTATTTTATTATTTTAATTAAATAACTAAATTCATCTATTCAATATATAACTCAATTATTTAAAGAGTTAATCACCTATACACTGCTAGTGTAAAGTTTTTTTACATTGACAACCAATTATATCTTTTAATTATGTCATGTCACTGTTAAAAGTAAATGTGTTTACAGTGACATGACACAATTAAAATATATAATTGGTTGTCAGTGTAAAAAAACTTTATACCGATAGTGTATAAGTGATTAACTCTTATTTAAAACTAATAAACAATAACATTAAAGTCCTCTCTCTTCATTAAATTTAAAATTTAATGTGTGTGTTTGGTTTGTTGTTAAAAGTCTTAGAACATACTTCTGTTTTTTTTCATTGTCTTTAAGGTTATGCATAAGAATTAAGACAATAATTGATATTTTAGTTTTTTAAAGTATTTATTATATATTTTCCTGTTATACCCTTTAGGTGGTTGGAGAAGAAGTAGATACATTAGAAAATGAATAGACACATTGTTCAGTAAACATGCATTAATTATCAAGGATAAAAATGAAAAAGAAAATTAATTAGTCATTGGTTTTAGAAAAGTGACAATGAAAAAAAAAACAAAAATCTGACAAAACGACTATGAAAAAAAAATGGAGAAAGAAAACAGAAAAATATGTAACAAATTGTTATTTCTTGTTTTTGAGTGTTGGAAAAAAGGAATTTCTTAGCATTAATGCAAACTGTTTTTCAAATGTGCACTTATAATATTTAAGCTAAATTATATTTTAATTAGTTTCTATTTTAATTTTCTTTTATTACTTTTACAAAATTTTGTTCGTTTCTGGAGTATCCACTGCTGATAGGAGTGACTAATCTCCTCGCTAGGTTAGAGGCACATCAAAGGGTGGGATAGCTGGCCCCAAGATTTAACGCGATTACATACACAAAGCAGGATTCGAACCCCTGACCTTGCTTAAGCGTGGATCAACCCCTACCGCTGAACCACACGCTTGGGATTATTGAATATTATAATTTAACTATTTAGTGACTAAATTAAAATTATAAATTATAAAATTAAAATTATGAAATTAAAAATTGAAGAATAAAATTATATATCAAATAATACATAAGAGCAAAAGGGTATATAATTTTAAAAAATAGTAAGAGTGGACCCCTATATATATAGGACCTTTTCCTTAATGTTATCATGCTAAAATTATTCACCCATCTTTGCAAATACCTTGAGAAATTACCAAATCTTAAATATCAAAATGAAATAATAAATCTAAAAAATTGAATTTAGATATAATTCAATTCTACAAAAATTAATTATCAACCATCATATATTAAATACAAATTTCTAATCCTCATATATTAAATACGAATTTTTATCACGTGAGAATATTTTTAGAAAATTTTTAAACTCTTTACTTAATTCAATTTATATACATATATTTAAATATTTATTTATATAAATTTTAAATATAATTTATATATTTAAATATAATACTTATTCGTATATAATTTATTATAAATTTTAATTATATATAATAATTATTTAACCTGTATACTAATTATGTAAAATTTATTCTTTGGTTATATATAATGTTTTGACTTACAATACAACTGTTTAAATGTACGTAGTTTTCAAAATTTTGCTTATCATATTACAATACTCAACAATTAATTTGGTTTAATATTTTTTTTTCGTTTTTAATTTAAATAAATGAGTATGAGCTTAAAGGTTATACACCGTTAACCAACATGTATGATGTATAATTGATAAATATATAATTATATTTTTTAAACATGTAATTAAGAGTTCAATATTTTTGGTGTACGCATGAAGAACAGGGTTGTGAGCAAGGGCCACAGTGCTCAAGTTGCCAAAGAAAATAATTGGAGTTGAACGAAGATTTTTAAGTTCAAAAAGTAAGGTTTGTATCCAAATAACTTCAGCAACGGCAAGGGCAAGACTTCTATATTCTACTTTAGTACTAGAACAAGCAACAACAATTTGGTTTTTTGGACCACCAAGACATAAGATTTGGTCCAAGAAAGATGGAAGCGCCTGACGTAGACCTCCTATCATCAGGATCAAATGCCCAGTCTTCATCACAGTAAGCTTGAATGGAGAGAGGTGAGTTGGAAGGAGCTGGTTGCAGATGTAGACCCCAAGATATAGTGCCCTTTAGATAGCGAAGGATACGTTTAATAGCAAACCAGTGATGTGCAAGAGCGTGGGACATAAATTGATAGACCTTGTTTACTGAGAAGTTAATTTTGGGTCTGGTTATGGTGGCATATTGTAATGTGCCAACTACTAATCTATAGAGAGACGCATCCAGAAAAACTTCAAAACCAACTTTTGATAATTTGCAGCCACCAATCATTGGAGAAGAAATGTGCGTTGACGCTCCCATATCCATGCGATTTAAGAGATCCATGATGTATTTTGATGGAATCATGCCAAGGCCAAGAAGACCAAGAGGTGATACATTGAAGGAACCAAGAGGAATGGGTTAGTCTTGAAGACCACAAGAGGATTGGGCCTACTTTTGGGTTAGTGAGCCATAGCTCATCTTGGGCTATGAGCCTTTAACTAAAAGCCCAATACCTCTCATATGATTGTGTATACATAGTAGTTACTTGTATAAGTTTATTTTGTCTTTGTATTTGTAAGGCGCTTTCTTTCTTTTCTTATAGGATATTCCTTTGAGATTTTAGGATATGTTACTTGAAGACTTCTGCTCCATTTGAACACAGAAGGATTGGGCCTACTTTTGGGTTAGTGGGCCATAGCTCATCTTGGGCTATGAGCCTCTAATTAAAAGCCTAATACCTCTCATATGATTGTGTAGACATAATAGTTACTTGTATAGGTTTATTTTACCTTTGTATTTGTAAGACACTTTCTTTCTTTTCTTATAAGATATTCCTTTGAGATTTTAGGATATGTTACTTAGAGACTTTTGCTCCATTTGACCTTGTATTAAAGGTCATTGATTTTCATATTTTTAGTAGCAGAAGTGGGGTGACAAATAGTAGGGTGTGTAGGTGTAACTAGTAAATGAGCTAGAAGTGGGCCTTATTAGTGTATAAAATCACAACAAAAAGGGAATATTTGTTTGTTAGCCCTTTTTTACGTTTTGCATTCTGTTACATCTTCAGAATCTTCCAGGGACACCTGTCCAGACACCTGTCTTTATTTTCTCTCTCTGTTGTTGCTTTTACAGCTGCTACTTTTATAGCTGTATTACCTTTTATTTATTTTCTCTCTCTCTGCTATAATACTGAGGGGTTCCCTATATATATTTTGAACCCGTGTATTCATTTTGCAGAGTAATGAAATGAAGTTCCTTTTTACATTTTTATCTCTTTCTACTTTTATCTAATATGGTATCAAGAGCCTTTGATCCTCCAGAACCCTAATTTTTCTTCTTCATCTCTTCTATGGCAATGTCAAATAATCTTTCTTCTTTTTCACAATTTTTCTCCAACTCCATAGCTGAAAAACTTGATGATTCCAACTATCTTCACTGGAGGCAGCAGATTGAACCGGTCATCAAGTCCCACAAACTTCAACAGTTTGTGGTTAATCCCCAAATTCCACCTAGGTATTTGACAGATGCTGACTATCTCAAAGTAAATTTAGGCAAAACTGACCATATCAGGGTGATGCGCCCGGCGCGCTTCACCTCGCGCCTAGCGCAAGACTCGAATTGTGGTCTCTGGAACCCACCACGCCGGGCACGTTTAACGCACGCCCGGCGCGATATCAGATTTTGAAGCCTTGTTGAATTTTACTGATATGAAGCCCAGGGATTAACCACAAACTGTTGAAGTTTGTGGGACTTGATGACCGGTTCAATCTGCTGCCTCCAGTGAAGATAGTTGGAATCATCAAGTTTTTCAGCTATGGAGTTGGAGAAAAATTGTGAAAAAGAAGAAAGATTATTTGACATTGCCATAGAAGAGATGAAGAAGAAAAATTAGGGTTCTGGAGGATCAAAGGCTCTTGAAGACCATCTGTCCTATTTTTTCTGATTCTCTCCGTGCCTGTTCTGAAACTCTACTTCTGCTGACACTTCCACTTCCATCTGACTCTGCTTCACCCTTCCCAACAGAAGACAAGGAACCCTCTTCCACATTCTTCATCAACTTGCGGTTGACATCAAGCAACTTTGTGATGGTATCCTGAGCTGCTTGAAGCTGCCTTTTCACCTCATCACACTCACCACCTTTTCCCTTTGCGTTCTTCTCATTAATTTCTATCTTCTTCATCAAATCTTGTGTGGTGATTTGAAGGTTGGTCAACTTCTGTGCATCAGAATCAAGTCTTTCTAAAATCTTGCTCTGGTTCCCTTCTTCGCGCGGTAGTGTCAATCTTCTTGAGATCTCTAACTTGTCCACACTCAACTCCTTTTCCACGGTAGAATCTGTTGAAGGATATTTATCATATTTATCTTTTTCAACGTTTCTTTGTTGTATTCTAGTTTTTCCCAATGTGCTAAAAAAAAAAATGCAACTGTGTAATTGTCTCATATTTATCTTTTTCAACGTAGTGTGTCTTTCCGTGAATGATTTGCGAGTGGTCAAATTTGACCTTTTCGATTACCCATTATTTAGGGATCTTTAAGTACAGTTTATTGAGTCCAAGAACTCGGCGAAAATGATGAAATCCGAGTTTGATAGAACAATACAACTGTTTACATGTACGTAGTTTTCAAAATTTTGCTTATCATATTACAATACTCAACAATTAATTTGGTTTAATATTTTTTTTTCATTTTTAATTTAAATAAATGAGTATGAGCTTAAAGGTTATACACCGTTAACCAACATGTATGATGTATAATTGATAAATATATAATTATATTTTTTAAACATGTAATTAAGAGTTCAATATTTCATGTATATATAAAATGTGTCTTAGCAGCAGGAGGTTTTATGATGATGACTAACAAATTTATGTGTTTAATTTATGTTTTTTTTAATGTCTTCTCCCATTGTAAATGAGTTTATGATATTCCTTGTACCAGATTAATAAATTCCTTTTGCTGTTCAAAAGAAAATGTGTCTTAGACGAAATTAATTAGTCCCTTAAATAAATATTTATATCTTAAAAGATTATAGTATTTGACTCTCAATTGGTTGGAGGATATATACATGCAATCATTGAACCTTTCACCCGATTAACTGACGTGGCTACGGATCCCATCTTTATTAATGGAACGGGTACATTTGTCGCTTTTATGTCTAAATCTCTTTTTCTTCATCTTCATATAAATCAAACAAGTTTATATATAGATAAAAAAATATATAGTATCAATTTTCTTCCGCGGAACCACCGTTATATATGAGTAAATGAGGCACAGCATGTACACCATGATCAAAATATGTATGGTCTTAAAGCATCTTTAGAAAGAAAATTTTACAAACAAGAAAGCTAATGCCTCACATACTTCAAACTATATAGCAACAATTAATCTCCCCTGGTGGAAGGTCGCATACATGCACAAAAGGGTAGCCTTTTCTTCTTCTTGTAGGCTTTTGTCCCACCATAGAGATAATCTCGCAAAAGCACTCTTGGATTTCTGTCAGCAACTTTTGTTATTTCTTTGCTTTCTTTTCCATCACCCAGTTTCAGCAGCAGAAACTGCAGTCTTTGCACCTCCAAATGCAGTTGTCCTATTTTTTCTGATTCTCTCCGTGCCTGTTCTGAAACTCTACTTCTGCTGACACTTCCACTTCCATCTGACTCTGCTTCACCCTTCCCAACAGAAGACAAGGAACCCTCTTCCACATTCTTCATCAACTTGCGGTTGACATCAAGCAACTTTGTGATGGTATCCTGAGCTGCTTGAAGCTGCCTTTTCACCTCATCACACTCACCACCTTTTCCCTTTGCGTTCTTCTCATTAATTTCTATCTTCTTCATCAAATCTTGTGTGGTGATTTGAAGGTTGGTCAACTTCTGTGCATCAGAATCAAGTCTTTCTAAAATCTTGCTCTGGTTCCCTTCTTCGCGCGGTAGTGTCAATCTTCTTGAGATCTCTAACTTGTCCACACTCAACTCCTTTTCCACGGTAGAATCTGTTGAAGGATATTTATCATATTTATCTTTTTCAACGTTTCTTTGTTGTATTCTAGTTTTTCCCAATGTGCTAAAAAAAAAAATGCAACTGTGTAATTGTCTCATATTTATCTTTTTCAACGTAGTGTGTCTTTCCGTGAATGATTTGCGAGTGGTCAAATTTGACCTTTTCGATTACCCATTATTTAGGGATCTTTAAGTACAGTTTATTGAGTCCAAGAACTCGGCGAAAATGATGAAATCCGAGTTTGATAGAACAATACAACTGTTTACATGTACGTAGTTTTCAAAATTTTGCTTATCATATTACAATACTCAACAATTAATTTGGTTTAATATTTTTTTTTCATTTTTAATTTAAATAAATGAGTATGAGCTTAAAGGTTATACACCGTTAACCAACATGTATGATGTATAATTGATAAATATATAATTATATTTTTTAAACATGTAATTAAGAGTTCAATATTTCATGTATATATAAAATGTGTCTTAGCAGCAGGAGGTTTTATGATGATGACTAACAAATTTATGTGTTTAATTTATGTTTTTTTTAATGTCTTCTCCCATTGTAAATGAGTTTATGATATTCCTTGTACCAGATTAATAAATTCCTTTTGCTGTTCAAAAGAAAATGTGTCTTAGACGAAATTAATTAGTCCCTTAAATAAATATTTATATCTTAAAAGATTATAGTATTTGACTCTCAATTGGTTGGAGGATATATACTTTGAGCTCCAAAAAAAATAAATAATAGCTATGCAATGTTAGTATAAAACTTTTTATGTTATCGTTCATATTTTATTTAATAACACTAAAAATTAATATATATATATATATTTATTTATTGACTTTTGATTTTAATTCCTAGGATAAATCGCGTGGGAAATTAGGGTCATACACCATCCTTTGACTTAAAAAGAAATTATTTTCACAATTATAACAAAAGTACTTCAACGGAAATCTCAACACCCCGCCTTGTGTATGCAACTGTATTAAATCTTAGGGTCAGTTATCCCACTCTTTGAAGTGTTTCCTACGTAACGACCAATTAATCATTGTTATCGGGAGTGAATACTCCAAGGATGAACAAAAAAAAGAATAATAACAATGACTCCCAAAAGAATGGGACCACACAACGTAAATACTATTGTATATGCAGTGGATACTCTATGGACGAAAAAAAAAATAACAATGACTCCAAAAAAAAATGGTACCACACAACATAAATACCATTGTATATGGTTTAGTCTTGTACAGCTCGAAACACACCAAAAAAAAATGTAGTTATTACTATTATTTTTTATCCGCAGAAATAAATTACTTAAAAAATTAAGGGACAGTCACACCATATACAAAAAGATGATAAAATATAGTTAAAAGTATTATTATCGATGGCACAAAATCACTTAAAGAGTCTCATAGTTATCTACTTAAAAAAATATAATTAGGAAGTATCCAATCATGTTACCACAAAACGATAATTAAGGGAAAATTTATATTACCCGCCAATAGCTTTTTGTGTCTTATGGGAAAAGAGTCTCATGTCCGTGACCATGACACATTGCATCTTTCACATAATTTGTTTCTTTAATTATGCAGACAATATGACATGCGTTCACATTACTCAAAACTAATTATAATAATCTTCATTTGGTGCCATTTTTTATGCAATCATGCTATCTCTTATCGTCATAATATCACAAAACTTGAAGCAGAGTTATTTTTTTTATATAGTTGCTCTGATTGTAGAAATATATCCCCAGGTTGTAGCTTGTCACATTAGTCACGGGAGCTAGGGATGGCCTTTTGGACAAACTTATGTAATTATTTTATACCAACACAATTAATAGGTGAATGTAATGATAATGATAAATCTGCATTCCATTTGTTTGTTTATGAAAAAGCAATTCATATTATATTATACTTTAAGATTTAATTGAAAAATTCACCTGTTTTTTTTGTAGATTGAATCAGTTCAAATAGTGTTGTCAACACTTATAAAAAGGAAGGAAGGAAATGAGAGTAGAAGCATGCATGTGTGTGTGAGTGGCGATGACCGACCACACTGAAATTGGTAGTCAAAGATGCAATGCAATTGCAAGCGTCTGGAATGACCACATTTTCATTTTTCACCAACTTTATTCCTCACTTCCATCTTATCACCTCTACTACCACCGTTTCTTGGTTGTATTCTAGTTTTTCCCAATGTGCTAAGAAAAAAAAACATGCAACCGTGTAATTGTCTCATATTTATCTTTTTCAACGTAGTGTGTCTTTCCGTGAATGATTTGCGAGTGGTCAAATTTGACCTTTTCGATTACCCATTATTTAGGGATCTTTAAGTACAGTTTATTGAGTCCAAGAACTCGGCGAAAATGATGAAATCCGAGTTTGATAGAACAATACAACTGTTTACATGTACGTAGTTTTCAAAATTTTGCTTATCATATTACAATACTCAACAATTAATTTGGTTTAATATTTTTTTTTCATTTTTAATTTAAATAAATGAGTATGAGCTTAAAGGTTATACACCGTTAACCAACATGTATGATGTATAATTGATAAATATATAATTATATTTTTTAAACATGTAATTAAGAGTTCAATATTTCATGTATATATAAAATGTGTCTTAGCAGCAGGAGGTTTTATGATGATGACTAACAAATTTATGTGTTTAATTTATGTTTTTTTTAATGTCTTCTCCCATTGTAAATGAGTTTATGATATTCCTTGTACCAGATTAATAAATTCCTTTTGCTGTTCAAAAGAAAATGTGTCTTAGACGAAATTAATTAGTCCCTTAAATAAATATTTATATCTTAAAAGATTATAGTATTTGACTCTCAATTGGTTGGAGGATATATACTTTGAGCTCCAAAAAAAATAAATAATAGCTATGCAATGTTAGTATAAAACTTTTTATGTTATCGTTCATATTTTATTTAATAACACTAAAAATTAATATATATATATATATTTATTTATTGACTTTTGATTTTAATTCCTAGGATAAATCGCGTGGGAAATTAGGGTCATACACCATCCTTTGACTTAAAAAGAAATTATTTTCTTAAAAAATAAATTGTGTTCATTCGTAGCTATAAGATGGAAACTGGTCAAATCACGTACGTAAGTTTCATTAGGTCTAAACTATATCTGATTTTTAATTATAAGGGATGAATCTGGTCGATATATGTATTGTAGGTCAATTTACTACACACGACTTGTTTATAAATTTGGTTTGATGATTTGTTTCGTAATAAAGTTTATAAACAAGTTAATGGGTTTATGAATTCAAATAAGCCAGATGAGAAATATAATGACATGGTTTACGTACACATTCAATATTCAAAAGTTGACGAGTAAAGATTAATGCATATATAACGGTGGTTCCGCGGAAGAAAATTGATACTATATATTTTTTTATCTATATATAAACTTGTTTGATTTATATGAAGATGAAGAAAAAGAGATTTAGACATAAAAGCGACAAATGTACCCGTTCCATTAATAAAGATGGGATCCGTAGCCACGTCAGTTAATCGGGTGAAAGGTTCAATGATTGCATGGTAAGTGAGGAGTGAACTGGCAGAAGAAGATGCGTAACCTTGCTTCATTTTGCTTCCACCTCTTCGTTGGGCACATAGTAGAAGAAAATTAAAAATGACACGAGGTCCAGACTTTTCAAGTTCCATTTAGAGAATATAAGAAGGGCACGTTGGGGTTACCCCCCCAATAACCCTTGTGACTTCATCATGTGGGTCCATTGTCCATACACGCACTCAAAAGAATCCTCCCCCACACATGGACAAATATGCACCCAAAGCCCATTATATAAACCCATGACACAACTCACAACCTCTCACACCATCTTTGGAAATTATTCAAGATATGGGCAGTGTAGATTATGAGTACCCTTTGCAC